GAGTAGCAGGTGTACCAGCAATGGGAGCCAGTTCCTGTCTGTCAGTGTTCTTCTCCTGAGTCTTGGCCGGAGTCGCCATTTCCTCCTCACTACCAGGTCTGCTGGCAGCCTTTCTTCTTCTTCTGGCAGCACCACTCAGGCGCCTACCACGTCTTCTACCTCTTCTCTTTTCTTCTTCCTCTCCATCACCTTTTTCCCAGTGTACGGACTTGCCTTCTTCCACACGAGCCATACATAGAGTTACTCCTCCTTCACCTGAGGAGCTCCCACTACTAAACTGGTAGAAGGCGGCTGCTGATGTGGGGCGGGCAGAGGGTGTCTGCTCTTTCTGAGTGGCGGGAGGCCTGAGCATGTATGCAATCTGTTTCACTACCTCTATGAAGGAGGCTTTAGCTGTAGGAGCCGCGATAGCAGTTTCCTTTCCCTTAATGGGGGCAGCGGGTAGTGTAGTTCCCAACACTGTAAACAGGGTATTGCCGGACATCACTGAAGAGGATCAGTGGCAGGGGGACAACTTACCTCATAGTATCTCTATCTCTTCCCCTTGCTTGCCAACAATATCTGTCAGCACCTTCACTGCCCTTTCCAGCAGGTATACCCAGCTCCAGTAATTCACTCTGCCCTCTGTCCTTCATTACCAAATGCGGCACTATTGTTCATCCCAGTCTGGACATCGTGCACAGTGTCATCCTCAATTGACCCGAATTCCAAGGAGAGGAGGGGCTGAGTGTTGCCAGAACAGATGTCCTCCAACCCTTCCAATATGGATCCAATTATACTGCCCGAGCGGGGCCCCGGAGAGGGAGTCATACCTGCATCAAGCATCTCGCATACTCTTGCCATAAGTGAATCCACCTGGGCCACAGCAGCATCGGCTTCCTCAGGCTGCGTATCGGGAAGTTGAACTTCCTATGGTGTTTGGATGTCATGCGAGGCTTCCTGAGAGCTAAATAGCTGTACTTCCCATGAGGTCCATTCTCTATCAAGGTCTGGTAGTGATGATTCCATTGCCGGAGAGGGGGCATGGATGCTGTCACCTACTCTAGTCGCTTCGGAGTTACGTCCTCCTTCTAAATCTATGGGAGTGTCACGAGCTAACACCTCCGAGGTAGGCAGGACGTCTTCGGTTACCAGTGGAGATGGTGGTGGTGGTATAGCCTCAATGGTTGACGGGAGACTCTTAGGTGGGGGAACGGCCAGGCACCTGTGATGTACGTCAAGGGACAGGCCAGGTAGGGTGGAAACGATCTGCTTTTTCCGGCCTTCATCGACATTGATAGCCCTCAGAAGTTGTGGCCCCAGAGCTGGCGCAGCGGATCATTTGATGGGAGATGCTGACCATGTACGGCATCGCATTCCAGCAGTAGGGAGGTTGTAATCCTCATCCTCAGGGCCATCTAATCTGAACTTTCGGGTCTCATAAAGAGCCCTTTCTCCAGATGACATCCCATCCAGAAAGGAAGGAGTGGATGAGCTAGTCTTGCGTGCAGGGGCTTGGCGGAGAAAACTGGGTATTTTATTTTGAACGGTCCTAGCGAGGAGAGGGGTAGCAGACTATGAGCTTGCCTCAACCGTAGCCACAGTCGAGTCATTTTTGGTTGGTTGTATAGAGGATTCAGGGACAATGGTCTGGGAGTCTTTGGGGGAAGAGGGTGCCGGGGCTGAAGAGTACTCCGAGCCGTGCTCAGAGTTGAACCGAACGAGGAATCCTGTGGTGGTGTTCTTGTTCAAGCCATACATGGCTGAACAGACTCTCCCAATTAGGAAACTCTTCATCAAAACCTCCACTTTTGTAATCGTGGCAATGGCCGCGGCAGCGACCATTTGTGGACCAAGTCATCAAACTGTGGGTTTACCGCGTTCTGACACCCGTGACAGTGATGAAACTGTAGGAAATTAAAGTTTCCTTTGGGTGCAACATATGACCATGTAATTGTGGGCATAAGGTCACAGTTGGCCTTAATAGCAGGCGCAAGAGACAAGGCCACATAGGCCATCTCAAGCGAGGAGGAAGGGTTGGAGCCGAACCGAATAGGGGACGACATCTTCAAAGAAAGGGGAGAATCCGTGAAAGAGGAGGCTGTCGTAGACACCATCCTTGCTCAAACTATACTCAGTGATTACCGGGACTAGGCCACGGATATCTCACATTGAAGTATCTTTTAAGCGAAAACAACTACTTCTAACCAACTACCTGAAACGAAAAACACAAACAAGTAACAGTAGATGAAGTATTTATTGTGAGCGAAATAAGGTAAAGTATTGGTTATGCTCACTTCTGACATGGAGTGCAAGAAGTAGGAAAAGTACTTAGAATAAAGCATGAAGAACCTATCCTCCTCTGCCGCATCAGCCTCCCTATATAGTGTTCTTCCCACCCATAGTCATATGACCCAAAGTGGTTACATGTGCGAAACCAAATCATAACAAACTAGTCATGTGACCAAAGTGGTCACATGCTCAAAACCTATGACCTCATAGGGAAGTCATATGCAAAAACTCATAAACCAATCATAACACAATAAACAAGTTATATGACTCAACTGAGTCATATGGGTGAAACCCATGACCTTATAATGAGGTCATGTGCGAAACATAAATCATATGCACATGGCCTACCCGCAAGGCACACTTTCAAGGCATACTCGCCAGGCGCACTCACAAGGCATACTCATCAGGCACACTTCCCATGACATATATTTGAATCATGTGCGAAAGCATCACAAATCCTACACATAACAAATCATATGACTTGAATGAGTCATATGTGTGAAACAATAACATACCTGTGACTCATAACAATGCATCACATGAAAACCTTTTCCTCGCTAAGCCGCATTCATGACAGAGTACCTGGAGATCCCAAAAGTCATTGCACCTCTTCTGGCAATTACAATATAACTAACTAGGAGCCATACTGTTCCCAATAGTAATTATCCGATCATTAGAGTCTTTAAACTTATGGCCTAGTTCTCAAGTCGAACTAAGTTAGCCCTAATTGTCTCTGTCATTGATGAAATAATTACTTTCATCTGCGAGTTGTATCTGCAAGAGTAGTCATAATTGCAACTTTTCTACGTCACCTCACTTCAAATCCTCATAACTCCTTACCCAACCAATAAATATCTTCCAGAGGAATTCCTACTAATTCGCAGGAAGCTATTCCACCAGATTGATAAATAATCCCTCTGTCAGCAACCCTTGGTTGCTCTGGATAACAGGATTTCAATCGCTGTTGTAGTGTTGGGAGTCATTCCCGCAGTTACCATATGTTTTAAAATCTAGTTGTAATGCTCAGTGAAGTCCATTGACTTCTATGTAGTGTCCTTTGAAGTTCTTGACTTTTCTGGATATTGTAGGGTAGATGTGAATGTATTGGTCTCTCATTGAAATCCTTTATCATTCAATACCATCTCTTTATGTAAAAAAGTCCTGTTACCTGTTGCTCATGCTAAAGATATTACATCTTTGAAGCCTAGTAACTCTCTGAGTAGTTAACGGACTTACTCAGTTCTACTTCTCAGACCTAGCTGAAGGTCCCCTCTCATATACACTGCTAACAGGATCTGGTTGGATAGACGGTGGCGATGTATATAGTGTCATTCTAATATCTTTAACTCTGTAGCATTATAGTCACAGGATACCCTTGAGATTGATATGTATGATGACATGAGGGCCCCATAAGGGGGCTGGAGGGAAGTGTTAGAGACCAGGATTTCTGATTCTGAGTGGGTTTACCCTACTTAGGGTGATTTCTAGATATCGGATCCCAGTATTCCCAATAAAGCTGAACTTTCTTTCATTGACCGTTTTCGCTTTTGGACCCCGCCAACTTTTTTGCTTTTGATTTAGTGACATTTTTGGCTCTTTGGACTGGTATGACCTTTCTTCTGTTCTCTCTCCTATACTTTATATTACTTCCATTCTACTCCATTTTTACAAGTTTTGCTTCTTTATTATCTCTATAGTTTCATATTCTATTACTCTCGTATCTTGATTCTCACTTATTTCACTGGTTTTTCTGATGACTCAACCTCAAACCGGTCAGGTCTAGTTTCTCATGAAATTTTTTTGAAGAATCTTTTATTTCTAACATTCATCTAGAATACGCGTTCTGTTTTTGTTTGATACTGTCTGTGCACTAATTTTAATTTTAGGATCATCGGCGGTCACTCGATCTCTCGGCTTAATTTCTCTTATCAAATTGAGCACAAAAATGCCACGTTTTCCGATGGTGGATTTAAAGGGTTTTTGCGGTACCGGTACCGGTACAGTACCGTACAAGCACATTCGAGTACTGAGTAAATTGTCCTTCCGAACCTAGGCCAATTAAAGCAAGGTATGACCAGGGTCACTTGGTTGGTCATTAGTCAATCTCCACCTTTTCCCTCCTTGATCCTGAATGCGGTATCCCGGCGCTCGAGTACTGTACGAGTACAGTACGCATAAGTTACCGGTACGAAAGATGTCACGCCTTTCTGCAGTGGTTGGGCTATATTAGTACTCGTATGATAAGATGCTCGAGTACCATCACACGAGCGCCAGCCCAACACGGCCAAAGCTCATGGAAATTCCCCCGAGGCTTCATGCATCATTATCCCTTGGCAGGGGTGTCAAGAACAAATTTAGCCTAAAGTCAATCAAGGAAGCAAGCGCCATCGAGGGGTGGGTGAGATGGATGTTCATCAGATCCTTGTTTCTTGACTAGTGTGAAGTGGAGCAAGGTGATTCTACTCCTACTGTGTACCGTAAGTTACCGGTATTTGTGGGGCATCCGTAGACTATCAATTTGCTACTCTTGCCACATTCAAATCTCAAATGGCTCCTCCTAGTCAGTCTACGGTACTCGTACACACTACCGGTATCTCGAGTCCTAGCGACCTCCGGCTGAAAAATTCACAACTCACTTTCTTAACACCAAGTGCTCCTCCAACACTAGCTACTCATAAGTTCCAGTATCCCAATTCAGCTATAGCACAGAGCGATATAGGGGATAATAGAATGCCTTCAGACATGAATTATAGCTCTCTTGTGTTTTTGATCATCGTCAACCATATCCCGCCGCCCAAAACCCGCAGGACAGATTAGGAGCAGCAGGTCAGGTTGATGAAAAGTCATATTTGGCTTTTGAACATGTTTGTCATCATTAGGCGACACAACCCGACTATCCCATCCCGCGTAGTCCTAGGTCCCCCATCCTCCAGGAAAGCAGACTGGCAAGGGATTTCCGGTAGAACATTCAAACCTGTAGATCAAGGTTAGCAGATTAGTAGGCCGCAAGGTACTCGTAGACTCGTCGTGTGAAGAAGCAACCTACCGCCTGCTCAGATTGAAAACTACATTAACTCCATCACTGACCTAGAACAAACTCCTTCCCCATCCTCGAACGATCATCCGCCCAAGCCCCATCTCTAAGGGGAATGCCGAACAAAGCCGGGTACAAGAGTAAGTACCGTTAGTCTCCGAAGTGCTGTGCAAGCATTCATTCATCACCGCACCCACATGTCCTGCCTTCAAACCCCCGCCAGCCAACTCAATCCCTTCCCCCTATCCCGCTTAAACCAAGAAGGCTACCGCAGAACAGGTGGGAGAAAGGGCGGGAGGAAAAAAACCAAAAGGACCACAATAGAATAATCAAAGCCATATCGAATCGAACGCCAGGAAACTCTACGATCTCTGTTCGCTTTCACCCATGTCGTGGATTCTGTTCAGGGAAAAACCAGCAAGTCCCCCTTCTTAAAAAGAAACAAAAAAGGGAAAGCACCAGCTATCTCCCTAAAGTCCTCGGAGTAGTGTGCTCTCTTTTTATCATCACCGAGAATCCTGGGCTCTGTCCATGTCATGTTAGCATCGTGCGAAGATATAGATAGAGATAAGATTTGTCGACCCACCCTTGTTTGAGGAAGGAAGAGAAGAAAGGAAACAGAGGAGACTTGTTGATAAATAGCAGCAGACAGCAAACGCCAAGCGCGCTCAGTTCGCGAATCCCTAACCTTAGCCACCTCATTTTTCCAAGGGCACATCACTGCGGTGGTTAAGCCGCAAGTGTCCCCCCCACCAGAGGTCACTCCAGTCTCTTGTCCCACGACTCTGCTATCAACCCGTTAATCTACTCTCCCAGAAATACACAAATTCCCAAGCATAATGTCAAAAATAATCTCTCAAGAACCGCTCATGATCCGCGATGCAAAGTGGGTCAGACTCGTCAAGTAAAAGCTATTCCAGGTTCTCCGCTCAACCTTTGACTTGGGTTAACACGATTCACTATTCAACAGAACTACCTACCTCGACCCCAACGGTGTTGAGAGAACCTGGGAATCCAGTGAGCGCTGTACTCGTCCGGCAGGCGTTGAATTTGATGGCGTGGGAATAATTGCAGTTCTGGAGAGGCCCGGAGCTCCCCCGGAATTGCTATTGCAGAAGCAGTACAGGCCTCCCATCGGAAAGGTAGGAGCTTCGTGGCTTTATCTTAAGCTTAGTATTAGGATGAGCCGGACTGACTGCCATTCATTTGGATTGACAGACTTGTGTTGAGATTCCGGCTGGCTTGGTCGATGCTGAGGAGTCACCTGAGGAATGTGCTGTCCGCGAACTGTTTGAGGAGACAGGATACCATGGAGTTGTTGTGGCAGGTGAACACGCTGGAGAGAAGAGCTGTTTAATGTTTAATGACCCTGGTTAGTACTTTATGATTCCTCGCTATTCTGATCTACATGTTGACCAGTGAAGGAATGTGCAATACCAATCTACATTTCGTGCATGTCAAGATTGACCTCACTGATCAACGCAACCAGAGTCCAAAACAGCAGTTAGAGGAGAACGAGTTCATTGAGGTGTTTACAGTGCCTCTGAAGGATCTCTATAAGGAGTGTAGAAAGTTGGAGAAAGAAGGTTATGGAATTGATGCTAGGGTTGGGTCTCTAGCTGAAGGATTTGAGGTTGCAAGGAAGTGGAAGTTCCTATAAGTTAATACCGCCACTTACGGAGGGATAGACATCGATATCAACTTCTTACATAAAAATCCCCCAGTTTGTTGTTACGGAAGTACAAAGGCACCGGTGGACAATTACTAGTATGCTAAAGCTCAACATCAACGATAGCTCAAATTCTACTCTCTCTTTTCAGTCCATCCCACAGCGCAATTGCGCTCAGAGCTTTGGCATCTCGTGTCTCCTTCCAGAGATCCTCAAGTCTGACCAACTTGAGTGCAATCTTCTCACCATGATCCCTCAATCCTGTCAACCTCCCCTGCCAGTCCTTCAGTGTTTCTCGTGGTATCTTACAAACATGTGCAAAAATCTTCATAAACTCATCACTGCCCCCGGGAGAAGGATAAATAGCTTCTTCAAGTCTTTCTTTCTCCGTGCTCGCAAAACCCTTCAACGCGGGTGATGTAAGATCAATAAGTTTGTCCTCCGGTATCTTAATCCCACACTCCTCCTCAATTTCGCTGGCCGCAGCACCTGCAAAGGTTCCAGCATCATCAATCATCCCAGCGGGCAATTCTACCATTTCCAACGAGCCTGCGGGAATCCGTGGTTGAACAGTTAATACAGCCCATAGTTCACCCTCGGTTCCCTCTGGCTCGAGGATAAGGAGAATGGCAACACTCCCGCCTCTGAGAAATACGGACCCAGGAATATATTCCCCCTTAGCATTCCCGACAGAAGTCGAGAGTTTGATGAAACCGACACGCTTCTTGTCCCCGGAGCCAAAGAAGTCGACCGACTGGATGGTAATGGACTTGAGAGAATATTCCTCTCCATGAAAAGGATGATCAGGAGAGGACGACTGTAATGAAAGGGAGTGTTGCAGCTTAGATAACCAAGAGGAGAATGGATGAAATTTGAGAAGTTGTTCCCGGGTGAGATCGGGCGTGAGGTTGACTTGAATGGTGGATGAAGGGAGCGGAAAGGATGACATCTTCCGAAGATTGAGGTGGCCAGTGAGGGAGGATAGACGAAAGATAGATGATTGGATCAATCTGATCATGGAAGAGGGGATGGGATTGGGGACGTCGTAGGGGGTGAAGGTCGGTACCGAGACGATAATGAGTGCGAGGAAAAGAAGGGTGGTGAGGTTGAAGTGTTTGGTTGTGGACATAATGACGTAAGAGGTGCGAGAAGAGAGAGTGGCGGAGAGTCACCTCAAGGTGTCGATTGATGTGTTACCAGTAATTTAGTTATTGGTACCACTTGCGGCTCTTTGAAGAAGTCACCTAGTCTACAAATAAGAATCTCGGCGTTAGCTTATGCATGGTAGGATAGTATCGTACCGGTGCTTCACCGACACCTTGTACCAGTATGATACTAGTATGATACTCGAGTATAATAGTATCATATGCTTAGAACCGTGATCCTCACGCCCACATTACCGTAACCTCTCTCCCAAGTGTCTGAGGTGGAATCGAGGGCAATGGGTTGTGACTATTTGGGCACACCGACGACACTGAATATGATATATATGATGCCACCGTGCTGTACAGTACAAGTATGACCCACCCCGCCACAAACGCACCATCAGCACCAGCACCATCACCAGCTTCCTCCATCTTCCTGTCCGGCACTGTACAAAACACCATACAATAAATAACTTTGCAATGCCATACAAAATGCTACGCAGTAGTCCAGAACCAGATAATCATAGCTGCGCTGGTAGGAGGGGCAGATAATGCGGTAAGCGAATTTGGGGAATACCGGTAACAAGCGCAACTCGCACCTTTGGGAACCGCGACCCAGTCTACTTCGGACTAACTCTCCAAGTTTGAGAAGGTCCAGGGGCTTCTCAGTCCTCCCTCCCGCGCATAGAAGCTGCAAGTGGCTTGACCCTCCACTGAACATCCTCCCTCAACACACATCATCGATAAGCGAGTAGATCCCTCACCACTACCCACTTACCCAACCCGACCCCTACAAACCTCGCCTTTCACCTCGCCTTTCAAAGACCCTCCAGACTCGGTCGTCCTCTCGTTTCATCCGTTCCACCTCTCAACTACCACCGCCACCACCACCTTACCTCCTCCTCAACCCCTTCACACACACCCTGATACCCCCTCCCTCTCTTCAACCTCACCTATATACTATAGGATACCGCTGGTCTGAGCACGCATGGTCGCTCTCCCTTCTCGCTTCCCTTATAAGCCACTGCAGCAGTGATACTTCCACCTCCACCTCCACTCCCTCCCATCTTGGTTCCCTTCGACACCTGCCCCCCCCCCCAGAAACTGGAACTCCATGATGTCGTCCGTTCCCAGAATGCCCGCGTGCACTCATAAAAGTCTCTCTCAATGCAACCTAATGGGTGAAAGGTGCTGCGCTTGTATAGATCCTACAGCTTTTGCTAACACTTTACGTGCTCGCGAAGCTGCTCCACATTCAAGGATATGGGCGTTAGTAGCGAATCTACAATCCCCAGGCCGTTTGGTAGCTGGGCTAACTCATGTTCTGATAGTGTCCCCTTCTGCGATCCATGTAAAGGTGGTTAGCCCCTCCTGACCATGGAGATGTTTACTAAGATTCTACCTTACCGAAATTCAGATCTGCTAATATCCCAGAAAAACAGATTATTGGAACTTGGACTCTGATCAAGCGTTAGGACATGCAGCCGCGGATAACAACCCATCTCCCCGGCTGCTTGCTCACATGCGAGAAAGCATCGTTAATAGGCACCCCCTCATTTCTGGCCCGCTAGCGGGCTTTCGTAGCAGCTTTTTTCCCCGTGAATCCTCCGATGATTTACTTAATGTAGGAGCTGATAATGACATTCATGACCGCTCTCTTGGCTCTCGCCACTCGGAACAACTGATGCCGGGGAACTTTCCCAATAATGGGCCCGAAATTAGAAACTATTTCACACATAACCATCCCACGCCAGGAGGCAGTGGTTCAGGACTAGACGATTCTGACGACTCCGATGATCTACGAAGCTTGGAGAACAATATACCTTCGTCCAGCAATGGATCAAATGAACGCCGCTCATCAAACCTTTGGTCACTGTCCAATAGCGCTCAGGGATCTGAAGCAGAGATGCCCGATTTCCCCTCAGGAGCTTTTACACGGTTTGTACTCAATGAACGTTTCGTCCCATTTTTACTCTTTTCCATTTACTAAGGGCCGTCCTGTGTGAACAATTCTAGTCCTACCGGTGCTCAGACAGCTGCTCGGAGCGAAGTTGCTATCAACCATGTTACCGGTACGAATAGAATCGCAAATGAGAACCTGCGAAGACTCCGTAATATACGCGATTCTCGAGGTCCCCATGAAGCTGCTCTCTATGAACACCAATTCCGGGGTGTTGGGGAATACGGGGAGCCGGTGCATGACCGTCTCAGGTGGACTGATCATACTATGCCACGTAGCGGCTTAGATGATGATGACGACTCTGACTCTTCACCAGTAGCTCTGTAAGTATCCTCTATCTCGACCTCCAATCGCTCAGGCTAATATCATTACAAAGATCCCAGCGAAGTCTGACCGCATATAATCGTGCACAACGTCAGCGCTCAGATGTGTCTACTGTACGCAGTGCTCTAGAATCCTACCGAAACAGAGATCCTCACCACCGCCTTTCCGAAAATCGAGCCTCCTCTTCGCGCGGTAATCACGATGACGGGGCTCAAAGTTCTGACAGGGTTTCAGAGAGGGTTTTAAGGTTGAGTAGTGAAATTCTGGGGAGAAATCATAATCCCTTTGCTGACAGCTTCAGCCGCTGGAGGGGCCTCAGGCGTCCCCCTGGTGGCATACACCCTGATTATCCTCCACCAACCGAACCGAAGGGATTGGATGAGGACAGGACTCGCCCAGAGCCGCTGGAAATGGAAGCAATGAAGCTCGATTGCGAGTGCAAGATTTGCTTCGGGCAGATTGCGGATACTCTCTTGTTGCCCTGCAGCCATTTGGCTATCTGTACTGTATGATTTCATTTCCAGGTCAATTCGACCACATACTAACTTGATTCGCTAGTGGTGCGCCAATCAAATGGGGATTAAGCCAATTAGTGAGCTACACTTTGGGCCACCGATCCACTGTCCTGTGTGCAGGGTGGCTGTTTCGTCCAGGGTATATCTCGCACTCTTCCTCCTTACTCCCATATTGATACTGACTGAATCACGAAATAGATCAAGGTTTTTCGTGCATGATATATCCCCGTGTCTCCATTCAGTCTACCGGTACCCATGCATCAGTGATAAATAGTGGCGCATGTCTTTGAATAAAACCTTGTAATAAAATCCCTTTTACTTCTTCCATAGATACATGCAGACGTAATTAGAGTCTTCACCTTACTGCACTTGATATAAAACGATTACGTTCTGTAATCCCCTCTATCGTTTTGTGTCTGATTTCTTTCGGCTGGATCGTATGAGCTCTAGGCTCCTCCCTCCTGTATTTTTTGGGCGCCCTGTCTTCCTGCCCCTTTCCCCGCTGGCGCTTTTAGAAGTTTGCGCAAACGAGTTTCCACGCACCGCATCCACAGGTTTACAAATTATGACACAAATACCGCCGCCGGATGACAATATCAGCCCAAAAATAAACCCGAGCCCAGTATCACTCTACGGGCGCCTCTTACGAGTGGGTTTCAGGATTAGGTCGTCGACACTTGCGGATGAACCAATAGTTCTTGAGCAACGTATATATGATATATTCCTAAGATCCAGTCCACCAAACCCCACCCAAGTTTTCGCCAAATACAAACACATTACAAACCGCCGAATCCCAAGGGAGGAGGATAAGCTATCACTTGGTGGGCATTTTCAGAAACTGGACCTTTTCTTTTCTTTTTTCCCTTTGAGATTACCTTGCTGGCACAAAACTCCCCATCATCAACCACAATTCCAACCGAGTGATACCCGATGCACAAATGAGTGTCTTGGCACACATCTCAGCCCCACCCCAGAAACTGTTCAGAGAACCTTTTTTTCTTTTCTTTTTCTAAAACCCACAATCACAATCACTCCCCTCACCACACCACTACCCCACCGCAAACGACCGCAATGGCATCATCCCTCTCCCGCACAATTGTCCACCTCCCCCGCCTCGCCCGGCGGACAATGCCCACCACCCGGCCATCCGCGAGGCACCTCACCTCGTCCCCTCACCCCTCGTACGACCAGCCAATCCTCATCTCCCAAACCCCTCCCCCCAAGCCGGCGGACAGGGACCCGAACGAGGTCGAGGAGAAGGACTGGGAGGGCGACGACTTTACCTCCAGTGGGCACTCGGAGCTCCTCCGCCACCGCGAAGCGCGGTCATACGCGCGCCTGGCGATGTACGAGATGCCACTCCTGTCGAGGCTCTCGAAGCCCTTCCGTCCGCCGTCGCGCGCTGAGGTGCTGCGCTTCCGCTACACCACCTACTTTGGCGAGGCCCACCCGGCTGAGAGCAAGGTAGTTGTGGAGTTTGCGCCGAGGGACCTGGTTAGCCTGACGGCGGCGCAGAGGGGGAAGCTGGTCAAGATGGTCGGGGCCAGGTTCGATCCGGAGAGGGGGGTCGTCAAGATGTCTTGCGAGATGTTTGAGTTGCAGGCGCAGAATAAGCGGTATTTGAGCGATTTGGTGGATAGGTTGATCTTGGAGGCTAAGGTTTTATCCCCCCCACCTCTCTCTTTCTTTTTGGGAGGGGGCTAATGCGTTGTCTTTTTTTCCTTCCGTGATAGGATGAGAGTGACGACTTTGGTGATATTCCGTTCGATTTCAGGCATTATACGGCCAAATTGAAGAGGCCCAAGGCGCGGTTTCCTAAAGCTTGGAGAATGAATGAGGAAAGGATGGCTAGTATTAGGGAGGAGAGGGCGGCGTTTGCAAAGTTATTTGAGAGGGGAGGTGTTACTGTTTAACCCAAAATTTCCCCTCCCACTCACTCACTCGCTCGCTCGATAGGTTTTGGCTTGGGGGTATGGGCTTGTACCTGTAATATAGGCGCTTTCATGGTATAAATGGGTCTCTTTTCTTTCATTCTTTCGTTCTTTGATTCTTACATGCGACATTATGATTTTCTGGAAATTTCGGGGTTTGGCACATATCTTTTAGATGGCACACAAGTGTTATGGAATTAACGGGAATACGGGAAGAGTAGCGCATAGGTTGCAAAGATAAGATGGAATATGAGGTAGAGTGACGGAAACGCTAGGCGATCACTCTTATAATATTGTACACGAAAAACCAACCATCCACACGATGTACAGAACGCGCCAACAGAACTACCACTAAAAGGTCTAACGCTTGACCCAGGCCGGCATCTTCCTCGCCTTTACGTGACCCGGCTTCTTCCTCTCGACCTGTCTGTGATCTACAGTAACGCACCCAGCTATACCCCCCGACGGAAAAAAAAAAGTCAGTAAATCTCCAAGATGAAAAAAAAAACTACCCCTTACCCCCCTCCCAAAAAAAAGAAATACTCCTCACCTTCCCTAAGCGCATGTTTCAAAGCAGGCTCATGTATTCTCAACGCCCTAGCAATAGCCAAAGTGCACGCCTCAGCCTGCCCAGTCTTACCCCCACCCTTGACGACGGCGAAAACATTATACTTATCCACACGGTTCGTAACGATCAACGGCCAAAGCACGCTCTCCCGATCGTGGACGCGCGAGAACTTCTTGATGATGGGCAACCCATTGACGAGCGTCTGCCCCTCCCCCTCCACCAAGAACACCCTAGCGACGGCGGTCTTTCTCCGACCGATGGCGTAGGCCCTGCCGAAGCCGTCCACGGTGCGCGCCGCCCTCTCCTTCAGCTCCGGGTTCTCGGGCCGCATGTAGAGGGACAGCGCCGCCTTGGTCTCGGCTGGCATGATGGCCGGGTCGATGCGGTTCAGACGGTCGAGGATGCGTATCACCTTGTTGTAGCGCGACGGCTTCACCCGGTCGCCGATCATGAGGCGGTATTCGTCCATCGTCTTCCACCGCACTTCCGGCGCTTCGTCGCCGTGGATGGTCGGCAGGGCTTGGTGGCTGCGGAGCAGGTCTTGCAGCGCCAGCAGGTTGTCATAGTAGTCTGGACTGCCCGTGTAGTAGGATGGCGAGAGTGGGGTCAGCCGGGTGCGCGGCGCGACGTCTGGGAGGGGTTGGGAGAAGCCGGTTAGGGCCGTGCTGGCGGGGGCGGTGGTTAAGAAGCGGGGGCAGTGGTGGTGGTGGAATGGCTTTCTGGGTAGTTGACATGTCAATTGGGGTGTAAGTCGGGGAATCTCTGTCAGTGCGCGGCGGCAGCGCTGCATGAAGGTACCTGCAGTAGCCATGGTGAGTGAGGGGAGATAAGGGGTTGATGTCTGTCGTCCGATATTTGGATGTTTGGTCCAGACCGTCAAAGATTTGAAGTTTAAAGGTCTTGGCGACGGCACGTGACTGGCCTGCCTTACTCGAGTACCATCCAGTATCACTCGTATTTATGAAACGGTGGGACAAACATCTCGGAATTTCACTAGTTTGAAACCATATTTCTAAACACTCCCTAAACCAACAAACAAATACACCCACGTCTTGCAAGGCCAGAAAAAATTATTGTACCAGAAGCTACTATACGGTATATACAAAGAAATTCTCTTATTTGCATCATGTCATCTATCAACATCAGTATTAATTACGCTGGCCATCTTGGGCCGTATCCTAATCACCATCATCCACTTCCCCTCGAACACCAGGAAAATAAGAATAAGAAAAACCGAGCCCAGAATGCAACGCTGTATTGCAAGAAACCTTATTAAAGAAAGACAAGACCCGAATACCGAGAATCAGGACTTGGCTTCAGAAAATATGTATGGGAATATGACGACACAAGCCTTGTAAAAGACTCCAAACGAATTGATGAATGCGACCGGCCAGTTGGCGGGTGAGAGTGACGCAAACAGGATGTAGATAGAATAGAAGGCGACGGCAAAAAAGTGGAAGAATAGTACCATTGGCTGGCGGGTGATACTATGACAGTCAGTTAACAGTAAGGAGGCAAAGGAAACAAAGACCTACCCAGCTAATAGGCCAACAGGCCCATCTATGCATTGTCCTCCCCGTTGGAAATACTTAAAACATCCCTTTTGCAGTGTCCGTAATTTATTGTCTATGAAAAACACCATCAGCAACTATACAAAGTATAACATTGCGGCAGTGTTACCATTGGCAGCAAATAAAGCGTACAATGCTTGCGCCAATATGTTGATAACAGAAGTCAGCGATTTCCTCTCCCAATGAAATCTTGATAATTGCGCGAGAACCAAGTCAGTGTCAGCAAGATCCGGTATATTCTCTGGGCTCAGAAGATCGCTGATCAAGACCACGTCATTAAACGCAACAGTCATTCCTCCACCGGTTAGTGGGTGTCTCATGTTCATGGCGTCACCAAGCAGCATCATTCCGGGGGTGGTATTGGTAGAAGCTGGAAGGAACGAGTTGGGCATAGAAGGGAATCGGTCCGCCTTGAGAGCCTCTTTAAACGAAGGCTGAATACATTCCGGCAGGTCGGGCAGCACAACATTCATGAGGTGCCCTCTAATACCACCCGAAGCAGCCGAAGGAGCTCGAGGCACATCTATCAAAGCTCGAGTATCATGGGTGCCAATCTGATAGAGGAGGACCGGGGGGTTGTTTCCCATGACAACATGGCCATATCCAGGGGAAGGAAGTTTTGCGTCTTTCAATTTAAGGGCAAAGAAGTGGGACCGGACTTGAGGTTTCCGGTCGATACACCTTTTCCGGAAATTTGAGGCATATCCGTCGGCAGAAACTGTAAGTGAAGCGAAGTACTAGCCAAGATTAGCCTTCTACCATTCAAGATCAAAGTTGCCCTAAACCAATTCAGGGTCCCCCTACATAGTCCAACTCATCGAATCCCTTTTTCTTGCAAATAACCCCCAGTACCTGACCCGAGCTTTCGTCCTTGATGATCTCCCGAGCAGTTGTTTCCACGATTGTGACACTACCGATTACGCCGCGGATTAGTATAGAGCCCCCAAACCACTCATGAGTAGCCGTGACATACTTGGGTGCATTCCCCGCCGCTTCTCGCAAATTCATGATGAACTTCCCATGATGAAACGACCGACCTTCTGGTGCCCTCCCGTCTGGGTCTCGGGGGTAGGGTATGGTAACCCCCTCCCCATGGTAAATGCACTGATACCCATAAACCGGAATTGCATCGATACCCTCTAAGCAATCTAGACCGAAGGAAGCCAAGAGGAATCAATCAGCACGTCACGCGCAGCACCCGAGTGGTGATAATGGGATTTCCACGCACCTCTTAACCCTAGTTTCTCAAGTGCCTGAACGCCGCCAGGTTGCAAGAGTTCTCCAACGATTCTGTCGGGTTCCGAAAGGTCCCTCTCAAGCAATAGCACCCTCCTTCCCTGCTCCCCGAGCGCGAACGCAAGAGAGCAACCGATTATTCCAGCCCCAACAATTGCAACGTCATAGCTGTTATCCCCCTTCTCCGGTTTCGCAGCTGCGTCGGTCATGTCTAAATGGCGAAAGTGATCAAAAGTGCGGTATCAGAAAAGGAGCGAGTAAGAAGAACGGAAGGTTGTGTGTGATTGCTCCGGCCGTTGGTGGACGCTCACGAGGCCAGAGAAGAAAAATAGAGAACGAGGGAAATGGTACCGATACCGGTAGACGCGTAGGTGTTGCAGCAGTTGTAAATTCCTACCCAATCCAGGGGTATTATACTGTACTAGTACTGTACGGGTAGACTATAATTCACGTGAACGGAACAAGGAACAAGGGGCTTTCAAGAAGGAAGAAGAAAAAAAAAAACCCGGGTCGAGTCCTCAGAAGATCGAACCCAACTATCGGGCCACAGCAGACCTGTACGAGTACTCGAGTACAGTAAATTAGTCAGCCATAATAGAATTTATTGAACCACAGCAGACGATCCCTGGGGACGCCGGTACGAGTACTCGTACCGGTACTGCATGGGCCGATTATTAGGGGGTCTCACGCCAACCGGTTCCAATCGTTTTGGTCGGTTTTGTGGAGTACTGAAAATGCTAAAATGGCGAAAACTGGAAAACAGCGAAACCGAAAAAAAGGCAGTTGCAGGTTTCATTTTCAGTTGTGTGTGGATGTGGTGTGGAGACTAGTGATCTGCCTAGACACTAGTGATAGAAATCTATACCTTGCTAGTATTAGTTCTCATCGTTGTAAAAGTATTTGCTTCTTACCTCTGATTAGGTAAACCGTGTGAGCGCTCAGCGAGACGGCACCCTCAGCGAGACGCGGCATGTCTCGGCATGTCTCGGCATCTTAGTATTCATCAAATAAAATATTATCGCCAAACTCAGTGCAAGACAAACCCCATACAAAGCCAATCACCATACAAAGCCAATCAGAATTATTATCAAGTCCCTTTACCTCCAGTTCAAATACTTCACTCATGTCTTCAACTGATAGTATGATTCCTGTCCAAGTATGTGAACAAATGGCCATTGAGATGGCTACGAATGGAACAGCCCCCAGTCTTACAGTTGCTGCAGCTATGGTAGGTGCAGCTATGGTAGGTGCAGCACGTAGTACAGTTTTGCATTGTCGGCAGGACAGAAGAAATTGTGAAGAAGAGGGCCAACAAAGACAAAAGCTGTTGCCAGAATAGGAAAGGATAATGATAGAGTGGTGTTATTTTTGCTGTTGCCTTGGTTTCCCTCTGACGATATAGCAATTATGAGAAATTGCCACAGCCATCATATGAAAAATGAAACCTGACAAGAAACTAGGAATAAGATAGGAGGAGGCATTTAGGAGACACATCCAGAGGTAAAGACACGTTTTAGTAAACAGCTGGATTTCATTTGCAATATATATAGAAATAATGTAGAATTAATGAACTACTTCTTTGACAAGGTATGATTTTTATTTTTTATTCCCAAGGTATATTTTTTTAGTTTAATAAGTATTAATGTATATATCTATTTAGTTAGAGTCTATCATATATGAATACAAAATTCAACCACAAAATACGTATAATATTGATGAAATTGACTTCCTACTAGGACTTGGTCAATCTGAAAGAGTTTTGAAAGTAATACAAAGTCCAAGTGAAAATGGTAAATTAAAGTATTGTGCACAAAGTTAGTTTTAATATCTTTAAATATAATATTGAAAGAATTATACTTACAAAATAATTAGATAGTATTCGAGAATTTGTTACTGTTATTGAAGGTATTTATGCTGAGGGAACTACTTTAAATCCAACAATCATTCTTAAGGCAAAAGAGTTTATTGCTGAATAGTTTAAAAAGGTTAAAGAAGTTCCAGAAGACATCTTGTTTGGACGGTCACATAATAGGTAGACCAATAAAAAGATGGCTCAGGATGTAACGATCCCTCTTTAGATAGTTAGTGCTTGGCGACGGGGAACGATACTTCTCTTCCTGTCTTCTTCTTCTCTTTGTCTTACAATAGCTCTAGGCTTCTGCCTACGTTACCGATAGTACAAGACCCTTGTCTTCTACCGGGACCGCCTATCGTAAGCTTTCTCTAACTCTTCTTCATGAAGCGCCTTCCTTGGCGTAACGATAACGTTGCAATAAAGATAAAGATCGTAAAGGTATTTTATATTCGTTAAAGTATTAAGTAGGAAAAGTACTTAGAACAAAGCGTGAAGAACCTATCTTCCTCGGCCGCATCGGCCTCCTTATATAGTGTTCTTCCCGCCTTTAGTCATGTGACCTAAAGTGGTTACATGTACGAAACTAAATCATAACAAACTAGTCATATGACCAAAGTGATCACATGCTCAAAACCCATGACCTCATAGCGAGGTCATGTGCGAAACATAAATCATATGCGCAAGGCTTACCCTTAAGGCACACTCATAAGGCATACCCGTCAGGCGCATGTCCCATGACTCATACTTGAGCCATGTGCGAAAGCATCACAAATCCCACACATAACTAATCATATAACCCGAATAGGTCATATGCGTAAAACAATAACATACCTGTGACTCATAACCATGTGTCACGTGAAAATCCTTTCCTCGCTAAGCCATGTTCGTGACACCAATCTTAATGCAATAAACAAGTCATATGACTCGAATGAGTCATATGCACAAAACCCATGACCTCATAATGAGGTCATGTGCAAAACATAAATCATATGTGCAAGGCATACCCACAAGGTACACTCACGAGGCATACTTGCCAGGTGCACATTCCATGATTCATAATCGAGTCATGTGTGAAACATAACATAATAAGTCGTATGACCCAAATGAGTCATATGCATGAAACAATAATATACCTATGACTTATACTCATGAGTCATGTAAAAACCATTTTTTGTGCCAAGTCACGTTCGTGACAGTCTTGATCTATATCAAGATAAGTTTTTACATAATGGAATCAATTTGGAGCCAAGAGAGACAGGAGGTAGGAATTTGAGTACAGAGATAAGAGATACTAAATGTAGTATAAATACTCTTACAAGAGGAGAACAGGATATTAATATGTTGAAGGGGCGAGAATTTCGAGAAAAGCTAAAGTCAGATCTTATTTCATTGCTTGTATCTTGTACCTAAGTTTAACAAAACAGTCTGTTTGGTTTTCTTTTTTTAAAAACAATTATAAACAACATTCCTGAGGGCTTTACAGTATTCTTCTTTGTCCCTCTCATCAACGTTAAGTAGTAGTAGGATAGGGAATGCTAGGGATGTAGTGAATGGATTACCAACCTGTGGGATAAATGTGTTTAGTAAAGAGCGGACAATACTGAGGCATTTCTCAGAATCCCTTTACTTGGGTTTGTTGGAGAGTAAGATGGTTAGTGGGTTCGTTGTTGGTATTGTAACGTATTTGCAAGGTGCTAATCACGTTATCGGTAATAGGTACGATAGTTGGCAGGTGGCCTGCTCTTCCAGAAAGGAGGCCAGAGCTGAGAACTAAAGGAGTCTTCGAGGGTGTACTGAGGAACAAAGAAGTAACTGTTCAACCAAGTATATTGAAATACTGTCTGTCGAAGTCTGCCTTTTCTATCATAGAAACTGGCGGTCTTTTAAATACACAAATCTGTTCATGTCTAGCATGAACGAAACTAATCAAAGGTATCAATCGATGCACTTTGGTAAAACTAATTAAGTATTAAAGCGATACTTAAAACAAAACATAAAATAAAACCAAGTATTAAACGATACTTAAAACAAACCAAGTATTAAAACGATACTTAAAACAAAACATAAAACAAAACTAATAACCAGTACCCGTACCGGTTACAGGTATTACCGATATATCAATTACTAGTGGTCGGTCATCCATATGTTACCGCCAATTTAGTGACTGTGAGGATGTGCCACAAATCCTAAATAAACTGTGGAGTAGGATCCCATAAGTAGACAGTAGATTCCTCATGATTACTACTTCTGGGAACTTCAAATAGATTGTAGAGAACAAGCAGATCAGTAGTGTACAAAATAAGGTTGAAAAGCCTTCTCTAAACCTCTGGGGAGTAGTGGACTCAGATTTTAAAGAGGTTTTCTAATAGCCTCTAATATTTCATATACTCATATCTTAGCAGTGGGGCACTCTGAGATAAAAGACAGCTGTAGATTGCTGAACTAGAAAAATTGTATTTCTATTAATTATTACACATTCCCAGAAGACCAGTGATTGGATAGTGAGGCTGGTAGTCGTAGTAGTGGTAAGTTCCTGGAGAGTTCCTGGAGGCCAATAACAAGTGTGGAGAAAGATATTCTGTTGTCATTATCGTTATAGTCATCTCGCTTTCCGACCTCCTTACTCTTTAAAGTGTCTCTGTGCACTACCTTTTTTCCAATATTTGTATCATGAGCTGCTTGATACTCGGTCACTTCTTTCTCGGTATTGGATTTCCTCTGGCTTCCCGCAATATCCGGCTGAGATTTGTCCACACTGGCTCCTGAAGAGAGCCTAATAGGGGAAGGAGGAAGTGTAGGTGCAGGTGGATGACCCATAAATGGTGGAGAGCTCATGAGAATTGGAGTCATGGTACTTGCTGCCCTCAGATAGCTAGTTTGCTTGTTATGACTTCCGAGTGTGACCGGTGAGGTGGTAGCTGAAAACTGAACATTGAAGTAGCCCTGAGAAACATGTCACTAGCCATACCACCCCTCCCACAACCTTGTTGTTATTGGCGACTTTGTTTGACTGTACTGTAGCTGAGGCTACAGCAATGTCTCTGAAGATGGAAACCTTGAATTCAATATTAGAAAAGATATTCAAAGATATGTACAAATCTCACTCTTCCAAGGGATCACTTGTAGAACCCTTTACCAATCATGCTAGTTCAATCTTCTTTTCAATTATTTGCTCCTCATGAACTATTTCTATTCTTCATAGTTCTACTTCTTGTTGAAACTTCTGATCCAATCTTTCCTGTTCCAACTTATCACTTTTTCTTTTTCACCCCTTTTTTGCTATATTGTCTGTAAGCTAAGCCTCCACCAACTCATTAACTTTTCCACCTTTCTCCCGTTGAACCTGACTTAGTAGAGAGCATTTCTGCATAAATGTATTATGAGTACGAGTTGAACTTGGGTCAAGTTTGGAGGAGAAGAGGTGCCTTTTAAAAGAAAATTCAAGTTAGATTTCGCTTTTGAGATAGAAGAGGGAGGTGTAAATAATTAATACTTGTATTCTGATATTCATAGTCAGAATCAATTTGCCTTTCAGTCATATATCCTTTTTCTCTATTTACATTTCCTTCCTCTTCTTCCTCCAGTAGACTCTCTCTATGCTGTGACATTCCTCCCATAACTTCTTCAATTGCAATTGTGCTTATTTCCTCATCTAAAGCTTTTTCTGTTCTTTCTCCCTCTTCTGCTTATAATAGGTTTGGTTGCTGGTATTGCTGTACAGTTATTAGTACCTGAGTACTGATAATTGTTTGACTATTCATACAGGTATATTCGCCAATATTTATCTGCTCACCTAATAGGTTTTGCAGATGATAAATGTACAGGCACTTTTGTTTCACTTGGTCTAATGACATCAATTAGCTATTTAATATGTTGGACTTATTATACTCAATAGAACTTACTCTATAAATTCTCTGTATAAAGTTTTGCAAGTCTGACCAATTCAGTTTATTAAGCTTCATATTCATCTTAATATTTCAGAGCATTCCAATATCAAGTAGTACACACCTTGCCAATTTCCGTTTCATGGATTCTCCACACCTTGCCGAATCTGCACTAACATACTCTGCATACTTCTCCTCCTTTCTAAGCAGTTCTTGCGCTATTTCAGTACATATATGGATTATTTTCTTTCCTACAATCTTATCACCTGGCCGATACCAAATCCCTGCTTGATATCTATCCTTTTGTCTCATCAGTTCAATCAGAGCCCAAGTTAGGGCTTGATTATCACCTTCTCAGTCAACACTTGGCCATTGAATGCTGGTTTCCTTTGTGGCTCTTCTGGACTTTCGACAGGATTGAATTGCCAGCATACTCATAGTGTCTGAATTGGTGGCCTGCGATTGGCAGCAATAGGATCAAAGATGCCTGAATGGGAGACAACAAAAATCAATTGAATGAAATCAACTTGGATGAGTGGATAGTCAATAAAGTTGTTGAACTTCTTGTAATTATCCTCTCTCACTTCTTGAATTAGCTTGAAAATCTTGTTCAGCTCGCTAACTTCATACTACCTAGCACGACCACTAGCACCACCACCACTACACATCCTAAATTCCTCGGAAAAATAAATGACGACCACTCCCAGCTCACGGTAAACCGCTAAAATGTTACTTCAGTTCCGGTTTCGTTTATTGGCGTGAGATACCCTATTGGGACAACCACAAACCTAAACTCACCTGTACTGTACTGTACGATACTGCACATCGAATCCCGTTCCCTTCGAGTATTTTATTTGGTACCGGTACCTAGAATACACCCGCCGTACGCTCATTTCTTTCACCGTCCCAGAAACAGGGGTCAGTATTTACACCACGTTGACTGGAATTCCTTTTCTTCCATGCGGGTGCATAAATTACCACTATCATATATTATGTACAGTGCTCGAGTACTCGAGTACCGGTGTCCTGCAGGCCATTGATGGTTCGCTGGAGCTGGTCTGCGCTCCAAACCTGATCTATGTCATGCTCAAAAGTTCGCTTGCTTGCCAGTTTGGAATATCAGACGGATTGTGTGATGTGAGCCAGCTTTGCTCGCACGGTATCATACGGTGGGTGGAAATTTCAAAAAATATTTATTTGCATGGTCCCTATTTCCCAGCTACGATACGCGCGCCATTGTAGTAGACCACCATACAATACAATTCTCCGCAACCCCCACCCCACTCTATGCTTTATACACACCAATACCGGCCTCTGGTTCGAACCCCATACAGCATCCAACTAAAAATGCACAAAATTTATGACAACTCTTGAGAAAGAAAAGACTCAAGCGCGAAACTTGCACTCATTGCCGACCAAGTTTGTCTTTCGTATCCCCAAGCAAACGCCTCCACCATCAGAAATACCGGTACGTCACCACCACCAAACGTGTTCCTCCTCCACCTTCCTCGAGAACAATAAAACAATGTGCAGGCTCCACATGAGAAATATGCAAGCAACAAAAAAGAAGAAAAAACAGAGGTAACGACAGTAAAACAGAACGTAAATCCCTCTAACTTGGATAGAAAAAAAGAGATGACAGGGGTATAGGACATCAAAACAAAGAACCGCCATGCTTTTCGCAAAATATAATCTCCGAAAACAAGGAAAAATGCAAAGCAAAGATTGACCTCAAACCATTTCTTAGGAACCCCAGACAAGACACCAGCAAACAAGGAAGCAATATTCTAGCGATACAAGAGGTCCCACAGAGGAAGGAAGGTGGGGAAAAATGGAAAAAAAAAACTATACAAGGTCGTGTACAGTACTCAGCATCCCTGTAAGGCACCAAGTATTGAAACTCAGGGTCTGGCGGGCGACGGCGATTTCGGATATCATTTGGCAGTGTTATTATTAGGTAGCAAATCAGTTTGCCCGGTGTGGTCTGCGTCTAAGGAGTCCCAAATCCCTCCCGCTTCTCCCTTCCATGTGATTGGCAATTCCGCTCGCAACCGTTGCATCGCTCCAATAGCGGATGTGGATGATTTCAAGGATGAAGTTCCACTCCCTATCCGGGTTTCGCTAGTGGTGGTAGTGTTCGATACGTGGTGTACTCGGGGTCGTGGGAAGAAAAAGGAAAAAGGAAAAAAGAAAAAAAAAAGTTGAAAATGATTAAGAATTAAAAGCCAGGAGGATATTCACAATGCTTTCCACCACATACGCTGCATTAGACATATTTCACCGCCGCTCCCATCCATCCCTATCGTTGCCGTGAAGCTGTGTACAAAAGTTAGCTTGTGCACTCCAGACTGACCCGTAGGAGTAGCTAGGGAAGGGTCTCACAAGGATGGTCAGGACCGTCGACCCTTATCGAAGGGTTATGTCCTTGATATGGGCGCTGGGAGGCGGATGGTGAGCCTGAACGATCGCCATAGTTAGTTGACTTTCCTTCACTTGGTGTAACGCTGTAGCTCGAACTTGATGGGGACAGCGGAGGTGTTCCATCACTTCCGTCCACTAGGGAAGCCGAGTCCGATGGGACAGTCATGCCTCGGGAAGATCCCGTCACGACTCTTGTGGGAGCTTTTGCTTGCATTCTAGGGGAAACCGTACCATCCTGCCCAAACTGCATCCCGAGTCCACTTGAGGGAATTGCGACCCCCGAGATCGGTTTCAATGTAGGTGATGATCGCGTCGAGTATATTGATGGGGCTTTGCTGGAGTCGGGTGATCGAGGCATTCGAGGTGATTCTGGGACGTTCAAGTTCATGTCGACAGCTACATCTCCAGCCCTCGGGCTGGTTCGGCCGTTTGAAATGGTAATGCCCTTAGGATTTCCAACTTCAATTGTCAGGGTCGAATCTGTTTCTGATCTTGAAGAGCCAGCGAAGGAGACCGCTGACTTCTGTCCGAAAGGAATATTGACGGCCGAGGGTACCAACGTGCTGGTAGATCTGTTGGTCGCAGTGTTTGGGGTTGTGGGTCTCGATTGTGCGACTCCTCCCGTGAATCCCCTTTCCAATGCCCTTATCCCAAACAGATCCCCTTCATCTTCCTCCCTCTGATTAAGAGCAATCTGTTCCGTTTTCCCCTCCTCGTTGGCAGCCTTAGCTTTGGCTTCCTATTAGAAATGTTAGTTAAGGATTCATTCATGGTTGACGTTACATCGAGTCTCATTTACCTCGTTGAACTTTTTGGCTCTGTACAACCGTCAGTTATCGATTTTATTGACCACCAACCAGAGAGATGAGTTGACTTACTGATGTCGGATGTAAAGCAGCTTTAAGAATCCAGCAGTAAACACCAGGACCACCAAAGAGCCCAAGACGATGCTAGAGGAAAATCATGTCAGCGCTCAAATAGAGGGAGAAGGATGATCAGGCAACTTACCCATACTTCGCACCAAGCTCCAAATCACCAAACGAGCCCATTGCGAGATAATAGTATCAACTCCTCAAAATAGAAAAGAAACCGGTGGAAGAGGGAGAAATAAAAACGTGAGGTGTGTAAAGTGTCAAGCAAATGCTACCCTTCAGAGCAGCGGCGGGAGGATCAACTTTCAACGAATGTGTTCGATACGACCGTAAAAGAGGAACAAAAAATAAGAAATGAGGGAAAAAGAAAGAAATAGAATGGAAGAGAGATAGTATGAGTTGTTCGGCGGGAATAAGAATAAGAATAAGAATACTCGAGGCACGGAAAGACCTTTGTAATGGTAGAGAGGGTTTATTTTAGTTGGCCCGAGGTTTGTCTAGGCATGCAAGTATCCAGGTGTCTTGAAAGTTTTCTCGGAAAAGAACGACCCAATTTGAAACGAGCGTCGGTGATCCTATCAGCAGGACTTGGTGTAGTGAACGGCAGCGGGAAAAGACCCAAAAAAGAATGCGTTGATTGTTCCTACTATTGGTGCATGTCTTGCATCCAGCGGAATCCGGCGGGTAGGCAAGTGGTTCAATCGGCAAGGTCTGTAAGGTTTGGGAGAAGAAGAAGCAGGAAAGCAAGAATGTCGAACACCCGGAGAATAGGGAGGGGGGGTGAGCGAAGTCAAGTAGATCTCGAGAGAACGAATCCTAGGGATAAAGATAGGTTTTTTTTTAGTGTGATGTATGATTCACCTCTCCTATGTTGGAGAAGGGGAAGGAAAAGTCTACACATACGAAACACAAGCTGGTATTGGACAAAACATGGAAATGGGGTATATCCAGCCACCTCCCCTCTCCGTATCATAAAGGATCATGGCTCTTAGGTCTATTGAGTTATAGCACTAAAATACGGGCGATTGTTGCATATGGTATGGCACAAAGATTTTATTTTGGCTTAGGCTTGGTTACCAGCACAGTACAGGACAAGCGTGATACCGGTACTTGAGCGATCTCTGGGAGGTCCGCCATGACACTTCAACCCCAATTTCTTTGTATTCATTTGAGTTGAGGGGCAGTTTGCCGCGCACCATATGCCTTGGATGAGTTACAAGTGCCAGTGAGCAATACGGTAGGTGCAACTGTCATTCATGAGCCTTGTTTGATTTGGACTCCCATTCAAAGGTGAGTGAATGGATGGCTCTCAATTGTCAGGCGCAAATGACGGATGTCTGGACCCATCCTCCCACCCACAGGCTCAACAGAACCAAAAATGTGAGATAGCAGAAGCGAGCGACACACACCCTCCCCCCTGTTCCGACTGCTTCCATCGGATCCCCTCTCCTTTGCTAGCGTCTCCAATACCCATCACAGTACCAGTACGAGTACTCGAGTACTGTACCGGTATTATAATAAAATACCGGTTGCCAAGTTAGGGTGATAGCGCTGGATTATATAATAAAGATTCCTGAGGGGCCGACCACTCCCTTGTTCTTGCTTCCTTAAGCGGGATTACCGCTCAAAACGGTAGCAATGTGGGGCTGCCTGCTGTGTTCAGGTACCATATTGCACTCGTAAGTGCAGGTCCTCACTGTTTTCGGAGCAGTTGCAGCGATCTGAGCACGCTGACCCTTGCGTGCGGTCGCCAGATGGCGTTTCTACCCCGAATCAGGGCTACTGCAGGGGCAGAGGCACCCCTATTGGACAAAAACAGGAAACAAATCTGGTGGAATAAAATAAAAATAAAAAAAAACATGCCCTGCCGTATTCGGCATCGGACAGTAGATCCAGCGCAGGCCACAGTTGCGGGCCATGCAGGCATCAGGGAAACCCAGGCACCAAAGCCTCCCATGTGTGCTACGGTCCATGATTTACAAGTGTTCATGACTCTGTGCTCACTCTCCCCCCGTACCTGTATGTGGCTTCCTAGGAGCACAGGAATATCGCCCAGTTCACCATCCTGGTTGAGAGGAACTCAAAGACGTCACTCGATCTTTCATCCCGCCGACCGCCGTTCTGCGGGTTAGACGGTACTGTACGGTTATCGTGCTTGCTCATTCCAAGAGTATCCGGACTCTCCATGAGGAGCTGGGCACCGACTACTCGTATACTTGTATACGCCAGCAGTGCAACCAGTGCAGCCAGTATCGGTACTCGAGTACTAGTACAGGCAGGCCTGAATTCAGCTCGAAATGTTTTTGTCTCGGCCATGGGCGCGTGCGTGCTGGTTGCGACCACGACTGTGAGGCTTACGATGGAGGGCGGACACCCCCCTCATTGCCAGCCTGGCAGTTATTAGCGAAATTCACGATGCCTATATCGCTTTTTTAATCGATGGGAAGGTGCTAGTGGGAAAAAGGAGTGGAATCAAGGCCCATACAAAGTCCGGTACAATACGAGCACTAGATTGTATGAGCATCACAGAAAAGGGGACACAGACCTTACCGTATCGTTCCGATCAGGTCAAATTCAGGTGACACAAATAAGCACTATCGTAGGTTTCTCTCCCCATAGCGGTACCGTACGGTATCATGCTTGGGCGAGTCCCGATAGGATGTCCACGCTGGGAGATCGCTTGGAGATGAAAGTTCTGAGAAAAGGCCAATGCTGTCGCTTGCTTGAAACAGAAGGAATCCCCCTATTCCCCGCAACGAGCCTACCACTATTACTAAATCGACATCACAACACCAACACGTTTCAACAGCAACCTCCACGCCTTCTTTATTTAGCACGCCAACTCTGCTTTGAATACGACGTTACAGATGTGAAGTCAGCCTTCTCAGGAACCGCTTGCAATTTTCCGTCCTCCACGGTAAAAAAAAAAAAAAATCCACGCCTCGCTGTCACGGTGTTGCCCATCCACCGACCCCATTGACCCCCCCAATACCGGCAGAACTAATACAAAAAGTCCTTGAAACAAAGTATGTACTCAAGTACCTAATGCTGTAGAAATGCACAGAAAAGCACTCACCCATGCCAACGGGGCTCAAAACTCTCATTACCCTCCCTCGTGTACCCTCCGGTGCAGCGTCGAACCTCCCGGGAGATAACGTGGCAATACCGGCATCGTATAATAGCTCTCGCTCCGCGAACCAGAGCTGGAGCGAGTCCATCCGTCCAGAAAGACCTCGACTTCGAGAAGGTTTAAAACACAAACGACCGGAGGGACGTATGATACAAGTACCATCGCATACCAGACCATCGGTACGAATTTGGGGAATGAGTAAGGGATCCGGTGCTGTCATAACCAATGCCTCTGCGGATGCCTAATTTTGTGGAAGTAGCCGCAACCCACTCCTTCAGTCAGGTAACTCGGGTTCCGATTGCTTTGAAAATCGCCGAGCAGTGTCGACGATACCCAAGTTTGTGTCGGTTGTATAGTAATTATGCAATGAATGGTATTGCTGTAAACGTAACTCAACATAACCTACTCGAGTACCGTATGATACCTTCACTATGGGTCGATGGTATTCTGGACCCTTTCTACCTCCCGTTCCAAACGCCCTCAGAAGCCAAGCGTTGCCGGTACTGTACCCTGCAGAGCAGGACAAAGTAAATTGCGAACGCAGATAAAAGAGAGAGAAAGAAAGAAAGAAGAAGAAGAAACCCCACGCAGAATGATTGCTTGAGTTACTCGAGCAAGCCTCCATGAACAGTATTGCGGAATACTGGCAATGAACCTCGCTTAGTGTAAAAAAGCAAGCATCAACCTATACTCGTACCGGTACCCCGATCGAGTCTTTGCTGGTTCAAAAAGCCGGAACCAAGAAACTAGCCTTCAGCTGCTGCGTCATTGCTTTTTTCATTCCATCTACGGTATTTTCACCAGGGCCCTCCCTCATTGGCATCGGGAGATGAATGGGACGCCCCCATTGTCTAAGATTTCAAGCCATGTTTCTCCTCCAGTGTGGTCAGTTCTAGAGTCGACAGTTTATCGGTAGGTTTAGAAAGCCATAGCGCAACTGTATCTCCTTATCCGCCCACTTGCTATCGTGCCTACCGGTATTGCACTTGCACTTCGATGATGCTTCAACGACAAAGGTGCTTTAAGGTGGTTATCGGATCCGAGGGGCAATTTTTTTCTCCTTCCAGGAATCTGCTTAATATAGTGAACTATGGATACTGTGCGTGAACCAATGGGATTCGTGCTTCGCTCTTTGCTCAAGATGCTCAATACCAACACCCGTAGAAAACAAAATTAAAACTGAAAACAAAAAAAAGCAAAGAATTATAGTGAGATTTCACTTGAACTTGAAGCCACAGGCAAGAGCGCAAAGAGTGGCAAACTCCATCTACTCGAGTAGCAAGGGAGGGGGCGAGAGGAAAGGAGAAGGAGAGAAAGAAGAAAAAAATTCTCGCGAGGGCGGGGGCGCACGCAAAACCTTGATATAGGCAAATACCACACACGTTGGGGGTAGGCATAACGTCTGTAATTTCGACCTGTCACTTGTGGTACAGGAACTGTCTGGATATCCCGTCTTGTACCTTGGGGGGAGGGGGGCTAGGAATGAAAAACATTTTTGACTTTAGTTTGCTGATGCCCTTTCTGTACTAGTACAGTACAGTGTGTCCCTTTTTCTTGCATCTCTTAGCTTTTTTCTTCTTTTTTCTCTCTCTACTCGTACGCTCTTCACGGCGAGACACTATGAAACGGAAATACAAGTACAGTATCGTATATACAGGTACCATATCCTCTCATAAGAAAGGGAGGAAACGGACGGCATTGACGAAAGTTTGAGTGCTCGAATTGGGCATTATATCAGGACTTGATGAATGGTGCGTGAGTATAAATACCTGATGATGACTTTATCATGGGTTTTTGGTACAGTAGAAGAGGAGAAGAGGGGCGGAAACGAAACACCGGTATAGCATTCAGTATGATACTGGTCAATTTTTATCATTTCGTGGTATGTTAACTTTACTTTCATTCGTATCTTCCTTTCCCTTTCTTTACTTCTCCCTTTTCCTCGGGCGGGCCGTCGAACTGGGTGACTCGTGAGCCATGAAATGGTACCTGCCGTCTACAAGTACATAACATCCTTCTTCCTCCCCTTACTTCATTCCCTCGCGGGCGGAGCGACCCCAGGATCGCTTAAATTACCTTATGCTTCATGATGGCCTCAACACACCCCAAAGCACTTACCGTACGTGTACAGGACACGAGAGTACCATAGACATGCGGTATGGAAAAATTATAATAACTCGACACAACCCCGCCGCCCGCCGATTCGCCAGCTCCTGAAGAACCGAGAGCCGAGCCGAGCCGAGGGAGAAAAACCAACCAAATACTCTCCCAGAAGCCCGTGTCGCATCAACAAGCGTACATACATTACAGTCATAAATACCGCATGAACATGCACTCTCGCACCCCTGGTTCCCGCATAATAATATCATGGTGTACAAAAATATAAACGCTTCCAAGCACATACTTGTTAACTGTTCCTTCCAATCTAGATCAGATGGTTGGCCCGGGCGAGGCAGACAACCTGCCCAACCATTGTCATCACCACCCATCACTCGATGGTCATACCCTGTACCGTCGCACGTTCTATATAGTAGCAAGGAGGAACACACCAAAACGCGCCAAAAATGGGAGT